AAAGAAGAAAGTCTTAACATTGTCATTTAATTTTTAAAAAATGGCTCCAAGTCAATCACGTGAGTTTGGCCAATTTATTCTCATTGGCAAGCTAAGACTTTGGGGGTCATAAAAAGAGAAAAAGAAGGAAAGATAAACTAACTGTCTCTATACAAGCCAATGCTTAGCCATATCTTTAATGTTTATTTACTTTATATAGAAACTAATAGAACAGTTTAAGAATTTGATCAACAATGGTAACTATACAATTTTTTGAGATACTGGAGATCTACATCCATGACCTATACTCCCCCCCCTAAAAAAATAAGATAAAGGTCAAATATTCCATTTATGAAGCTAAAAATAAAATTTACCATATTCAACTGTATATTCATCATCTTTGATAAGGCTATATTTTCAAAATATAAAACTTTGATAAAACTATATTTTCAAGTACATAAACGGGTTGTTAACTTCTCAATTCTGCTGTTTAATATCTTCAACACATTTATGTTTGGTAACTACAGGATTTGCTCTCCCTTTAGTAATTTAATAACTTTAATAATTTAGTAATTTAAATTAGCTCCATTTTATAGATAGACAAGTACACAACAAGATAGAGCTTTTCTAAAGATACTGTTCTCTGTGGCGCCACAAGCCAGAATCTGTACCTCACATTTTCTCATTTCTGTATTTGATGCTAGCAGTCCACACAGTAGACTTTAAAGACAAGAGACTCTTTTGACTCCTGAGGTTTCTTGTGTTAACTCCCCACCCCCTCTCTCTCACTTGCCTACAAAGTCTATCTAGGGAGCCGAACAAATACTAACTTCTTTGCCAGTTGAAAGTTCTTTGAACCTGTACACCACCCCTTACAGCTGAATTTCATTTCACCTGATTTTAGATGGCCCTACATACATCTTTTATCATATAAAAATGTTCCTGGCTATTAAGTTCAAGAAAAAAGCAAAAAGAACCCTATACGGAAATCACAAGGATGCATGCAAACAATCAGTAGCTGTTACATCGAGCTGTGACTGAGAGCCAGTACAGGGCAAATCGTTTGAAATCAGGCAGCAAAGCAGAAACAAAGAGGTCAGCTGAGTAACCTACTAGCAGCCAGTAACAACAGTACCGCAGAAGAAAGGGCAATTTAACTGGCTGTGACCAGTGGTGGTCTCTTCATGTGACTATATTTCAGCAGAAGAATCCAAGTCAAGAGCTGTAAAACATGTCTGAAACATGTATTTCCCTTGGTGGCCCTCCCCAATCTCCTCGACGTTAAGATGCCCTGATTCCATTGCAAAGCTTGAGTTTACAATAAAATGATCATTGCTTCATTCATTTGTAGCCTCTTCTAAGCCCCTTCTTTGCTCTGCTGGAAGATTGTGCTATTCCTGAAACAGGAATGCCAACAGTGTTACAGTATATTACTGCTGCCTGGTGTATAATTAGCTACAAGCCCACAGCACAAAACTATAGGGATTTACAGGTGCCCTGGATTCTGCTTTTCCTTCCCCCTGGAATCAGCTAGTCTTCCCTGACAAGAAGGGACCTTGGACAACCCTAATGATATATTGAGAGCTTTAAACTCAACTCTCCAATCTTACGAGTCCTGAGTGACAAAATAACACAGCAGAGACAGGAAGCTGAGCCATGGACACAGGAAAGCACTTTGGTAAGCACTTAAACCTGCTGAGAATCTTCTCTTCTGCCAGATGCTTGCATCTTATCAGCAGACTACGCTGAATGAAGAAAGCAAGCACTGTAGGATTATATCTATTTATAGCTCATTCTAGCCTGCTAACTACAATCAAGTGCTCCCACTGGTAAAACTCCTACAAGTTGGATGACTTCTGAGTATCTCAGTACTATCCAAAAGAGGGTTCTAATCTCTGGATGTCAGAGATTATCAAAGTTCTCAAGAATGGAAGCAGGCTGCTGATTAGTCTCATGGAAAGCCTCTCATTTCTAACTTTCTGCAAAAATAAAAGGAAGATCTTGAGAACACTGACCAATACTGAATACCTAAGGTGCCAAACCACTAAACCCAGCTATGAACAAAATGTGTTATTAGGAGAGAGCACAGCTGACCTCTTCTGGATGTAAGGTCTGAGAAGAGCACAGTACTTGAACCAAAGTGTCTAACACAAATGAGGAAGATTTACAGGAACAAATCGGGGAAAAAAGTGAAATACAACTTAACTAAAGCATGACTTTTGGTCAAAGAAATAGGTGAAAACACCAATAGGTCCTCACCCATTATAAAATATGTGTAGAAATATAAAGCAAGTATATATACTTCCATTTCCATCACCAACTTACATAAATGATGAATCAATTAAAAATTCTAAAAATTGCTCAAGTTAACTACTTGTATGGGTAACTGGGTGTTACATACAAAATTTATTTTGAGTTTTAAATTCTGTACTCCCAGCTTGTCAATAATATAGTTATATGCTGTCAAAGAATTTATAGCATAATGTGCTTTAGATAGATTTGTATAAAATAGCTATATTTTAGAATATTAATTCACACAGAGTAACTGAAGAACATTAAATACGTTCAAGGTTAAGAGAAATCCTAACATCGAATCATCTAACAAACTGTTGAAAATAACAACACTAGGTTAATGGTTCATATAACAAGGCTCTGGCATTTTAGTACTAGTGAATGATACCATGGGGTCAGAAGTAGAAGGGGTGGGGATGGGAGTGGGGTGGCCTGAGAGAAAGATAGGTACAAACACACCTCAGGCTCTAGACCCTAAGCGTCAAGAATGGCAAATGATAGAAGCTTGAGCTCTAGGATAAATCCACATCAAAAACTAGCTAAACTCACTAAGGAGCTAGGCTCATGGCCTCGGAAAAGTAGAGAATGAGCTCCCTGAAGTAGGCAAGCTGTATTAAGTGTCTCTGTATCAAGAAAATGATTGAAGAATCTTACATACATCTCTCTCAAGGATAACTGCTAAATGGCCACAAGCCACAGTAAAAAACTGACACTTATATACAACAGCAAATAAAATCTAAATTCTAAAAAGGTTTAGAGGACAAGGAGGAAATGTACAAAAATAGACATGTGTCACAGGTTTCTAACTATTCTTTAGCCACTGTTCAAGAGAAGGGAATGAGAAGAAACAGGTAACTCCAGACCAGACAGCGGTTGTTCCTGAGGACCTGAGTTTGATTCCCAGCACTCCATGGTGGCACACAGCCACTATAATGCTGGTTTCAGAAGATTCAATGCCCTCTTCTGGCTTCTGAGGACACCGGTCACAGGCACAGTGCACAGACTTACATTGAGGCAAAACACCCACATACATAAAATAAAATAGAATCTTAAGAAAAAAAGCCTATGGAAACCTTGTAAGCCAACTGACCAAGTGTGCTAAAAAGCAATCTGTTCTTGGTCAGAGCTGCCCTACTCACTGTAAATGTGCTTTTGCCTGTGTTCCAAGAATCTAAACAAGTCCTAACAAAACATCGACCTTCAATTAAAAAGACATCTGCATTTTCCTGAACAAATGATGATGAAAACAATGACAACACCCACTGCTGCTGCCAGGCTACAGCCAGTGATCCATGTTCTAGTGCATCATCCTATGGGAGTCAAATCAATAGGCAAAAACTGAAGCGAGAATCCTAGCAGGCAACCCAATGGCTTTGTTAGCTATGGCAGCTTACAAAGACTTTGCTAACAAAGTGCTGAACAATATGAACCTAGGACTAGAAAAGAACATGTAAAAGTAACTGGTTATATCAAATGTATGTTTTCAAGCCAGATACGGTAGTGCACGCCTACAATCCTCTCACTCAGGAAGTAAAGGCAGGTAGATCCAGAGATCAGAGTCATCCTTAGTTATACAGTAGCTGCAGACCAGCCTAGGCTGTAGCTAAGAATTTGTCTCAAAATGATACCAGCCCCCAAAACAACATTTTCTTCCCAAAGAATTTGTGTTAACCCCACTTGGGAAAAAAGAAAAGGTCTGCTTTGCACTGATATATGTATGATTCTCTATATCTATATATCTATATATGTATATTCTCTATTTTGACAGAGTAATTATTGAAGCATGTGTAAAATATTATAATGTAAACCTGTATCTGGTATGGATAATCCCTACAACTACTAATAATAGCAACCTAAGAGGTGTTTTTCTTCCTCTCTCCTAGGGAATATACCATAAATGTAACAAAAGGATATTACATTAATAATTTTTATTATATATTTAAAAGATATTTCACATATATTGGTTTAAATGACTTATTAAAATTGTTTCTTTTTGTTTTTTCAAATGTAGCTAACAGGAAATTTAAAATTATGTATGTGGTTTGAATTAGATTCTACTACATAGTGCTGAATATCAGAGGAACTTTACAGTCACTGAGATGACCCTAATCCAAAATAAATCAGAGTTTGGAACTCAGGATACCAATGTGTGTATTTTCAAGGTACCCCTTAAATAATTCCAATAATCCTTAGAACAGAATGAAAGAAAAATATTGAAGCTAGAAAAATTAGCTAAGCTTTTTAAAAAGGTGACCAGGCTTATTGTAAGTCTTCAGCCATTGTTCAGCTGTCAGGAGAAAGACTCCAAATCCTTGGAGTTTCCCAAGCAGTGGGAGTGTATTTTGTTATTCATGTATCCCATCTGAGCTTATGCTAAGAGGTCACATGACTCCAGATAGAAGCTAGTCACTAGAAACAGCAACTATGTGGTTAGAGGGTTACGGCTTTATGCTAACCTGACCTCTGGGGAGGAGAGATTGAGTATATTCATGTGGCCTATGATTTGCTCAATCGTGCCTATGAAATGAAACCTTGATAAAAACCTGACACAAGCTTGTTGGAGTTTCCTGGCTGGTGAACACATTGATGTGCTGAGACTGTGGTGTGCCTTGATTCCACAGGAGAAGAACAAAGAAGCTGCAGCTGAAGCCCTCCCACACTTCCCTCCATATGTGTTATTTGCCTGGTCCTGATCTATATTCTTTATAATACAACTAAAGTAAAGCGCAATGGCCATACTATAACCCTAGCACGCAAAAGATTGAGGCAGGAGGACTGTGGTCTGGGGGTTGGGGGGGGGCGGCCTGAGTTACATAGTGAGAGCCTGTTTCAACAAACAGAAATTTGATAGAACTGCAAATATAATTATAAAGCTTATTTATTAAACTGAAAAACTATAGAGACCACCAGCTCTGTAGTCCACTGGTCAAAAATGTGGGTGGCCTGGGGCTGTCCCATGGAGGGCTGAGCACTTACCTGATAGGTTTGATCAAAGCAGATTTGGGTAGAAATCAAAATTGGATTATAATAAAACAATTGAAATCAGAATATGGTTATAATTCCAAATATAAAATCTTATCAAATGTTAAATCATGTAGCAAATCTCTAACTTTCTGAACAAGTTTTTCTCTGAAATTAAATATATCATTCCATGATCAAATATTATCTGATCATAAACTTAAAAAAACTTTAGAGCTTAAAAAAATTTACACATTTTATGGGGGGGGGACATGTAGGCATGCATACAAAGTTTGCCTATCTCTCCCTCCTCAGCATGGGGTTACAAATGCGTACCTTGTACCTGGCTTTAATGTGGGTGCTAGAGATCTAAACTTGGGTCCTCATCGTTGTGTGATAAGAGCTTTACTGACTAAGCCATTTCCAGCAATTTTTATGGTTTTCACAAAGATTATTTATCTTTACTTTGCATTTATCTTCACTTGCATAGGTATAGAAATACTGCTTCTACTAATAGTGACGACATTTCTGAGGCTTTATTATTACACACATGGTAAGGGAAATGTCAGGATCTATAGATTAGACTTCTTTTCAAACCTGGCCTTTATCCATAGGGGTATTTACATTATGGAGGTTGGGAGGGACAAGAACATTTTGAAGCCATGTCAGGATAAAACAAGATTTACTACCTTTATGTAGAAAGGTGAATATGGCTTCTAAATGAAACAGTTAAGTGTTTCAATTTCCAGTCAACTTTTTTTTTTCTCCAAACTACACATACAGTCTCAAACTGTAAAAGATGGGGCTAGTGTGATGACTCAGACAATAAAGGCATTTGCCAGCCAAGCATGATGGCCTGACCAGGTTCAATCCCCAGATCTACATGGTAGAAGAGGAGAAGCAACTCCTGCGAGTTCTTTATACACACAGATACAAACACATAAATGTAAAAAGGAAAAAAGTAAGACAGGGTCAGAACAATTCAAAAGACCAGGGGAGCAATGTGGAAGGAAGTCAGGAGGAGCCCTGCAGGCCGACTACAAACCACTGCCACAGGAAAGAGAAAGGAGAAAAGTAGGAAGAAAGGGAGGTTGTCTTGAGAATTACCGAGCATTAAGTATAGCATATAGTTCTCTACAATTATTCAAGGAATGCAGGAAAAGAAAGAAGACCTGATGTGGAGCCCATATGTGCCACAAGTACTTCACTGCTCGATGAAAGACAGCCATTTGTTTCTAGAAAATGAGATTCTGAAATCCACGGAGGCAAAAATGTACTGAGAGATGCTTGCTAAATCAAGGATATATGCTTTTCTCTGCCAGCCACAAGACATTTTTTGAGGTGGAAAAGTGAAAGGATCATCTAAGACAAAGAAGAGAGGTACTTTTCCTGAAGATGCCTCTGTTCATCTGCCGACCTCTGCTGGATCAACAGTGGCATCCAGTGGCCAAAACTCTCAGCACAGACTTCTTTGTCTTAGAAAGGCTCTGATGCTTCGGGTGAAGTGACAATTCAGAACAAAACCATTTCTGGTGTCTATAACTAAGGAGCCCCAAAGACACAGTGGTTTGTAACACCAAGCGAAGGGCCAAGACAATAAAGAAGAAATGGAGAGGAGCAGGGTATAATTGGCTGTGGTATTTTTATTTCCTGTGGTATTACTAAAAACAATAAAAATACAGAATGGGATGAACATATGTATGGCTTGGAATTCTTGGAATTTCATTGCCACAGGATATTTTTAATAAGTATATAAATAATTTTTTTTCATTTTAAACCCAAAGCAAAACAAATTTACATATGCACATTTTAAAGGACTTGGGGAAAGAAAAATAATGGAATTTGATGGCCAATTAAGTCATTAATTTATATTCAAGAAGTTGGCTCTTGAGTATGACTTTTAAAAAAAAGTGGCTGATGAAATTACAACTGCTAAATTCAGGTGTCAATGTTATGGAAGGCAGAGACTGCTCAGGTGGACTAGCTCCAGCACAGACCAAAGCAGAACTTGCATACAGTGTCGCTGTCTGTTCAACCACTGCCTTATTTTGGAGTGGTAGGGAGGGTCTGGCAAGTCAAATGCTCAAGGGAGAAAGAAAATAAGAAATAAAATGAAGGTAGGAGAAAAGAGGGAGGGTGAGAGAGGGACAGTGTTCTTTAATTATATGTACAAGCAAGAATGATCAAGACAACCCTGACCATCTGTCTTAACTAGACCATACTGTATCTCTCCAGATCAAGATACAGGCATCAAGAAGCTCCTCCTTCAGGGCTCATTCAAGTCTGCCCATTTGTTTATCTACATTTCTTGCTACAAGGATCAAGGAACTGCCAGTTAGTACCCCCTCTTAACTGTACCTTACTAGGCCACTGGTTAGCTCAGGTGCATACACCAGCCCAACTCACCTGTTTGGATGAGATGTGGGCAGCATGAACTGAAATTCCACTACACAGGTGTTGTCCTTAAGCTGGCGGTGTTGTACACTGTTGAGTTCATAGGCGATATAAGCCCTTCGAACATATACCTGGTTAAAAAGTAATCCTCAGTAAATACACTTAGAAAACATAAATGAAGACATGGCTGGATCAAAGACATCTTGAAAAGACACATCTGTTATGGAGATGGCAGTTTGCAATGAAAGGGTGCAAGACCCTGAACATAATACCTTGCTTTAATTGTTAATTAATGCTGGGGTTTTAATGTTTTACCTATGACTCTAACTATAGTGAAATAAAATGAAAACAAGGAAGCACCTGCTGGATACCCAGGTGCATGGCAAACCTTTCCCATTACCCTAAAAAATGGAGGTTTTATCTTTAGCAAAAGATACCATACAGAATCATAACTACTAATTTATTAGCATAATGATTCCAACAGAAGATAGAATAGTAAGAAAAATAAGAGGTGCTGATTCCAGGCTACTTTGGGGAGTAAAGAGGGAAAACAGAAAATCACTATCAAGTTCAACTTTTTATCTATCCTGTACCCCCCCCAACTACCAATTTTACTGCTCCAAATCAGTATTGAAGCATTTCTATTCTCAACTATACAAAACAGCAGGGAGGCCTAATATAACATTTAACATCTCAAACTCACTAACTTAATTCAGTACTTAAAGAAATAGCAACAGACTGTATCTCTGCAAAACCCAGCAGCATCCCCCCCACACACACATGCACTTCATGTTCAGCTTGCCAAGCACATGCAATGCTACATGAGGTTCTGTCAGCATGTGAGGCACAGAAGGAAGCATCTTATCAGATGACATGAAAGCCTGGGAAACACCAAGATATTTCAAATATTTGATACTTTACATTTTACCCACAGAATACAAATAAAAATTATCTGAGAAAGCTAGCAACAGAATATGTGAAGTTCTATTACAGAAATCATAAAACACATCTCCCTCCTACTTTCAAAGTATATCTACTTGACAATGTTAAGAAAGCATTCAGAGTCTGTAATTTTTGTGTTTAATGAGGTATGCTATAAGGAAAGTCTTTGGAGTCAGTCTGACCAAGTGCAAACTCCTCTAGTTAATATGTGTTTTTTGGGCAAGTCGCCTAACCTCACAGTCTCACTTGTTTGTTTGCTTGTTTTTAACTTTATAAAGCAGCTGTAGGATTAGATGTAAACATAAAGCACCTAAACCACAGTTTATTCAACACTACACAACTAAAATGTGGCTCTAATAACAAAATGATAAAGTAAGCCATACAGCTTTCACTTATGCTACATACAGTAAGTCTTAATTCATTGTAAGATGGGGAAATTCAAGTACCTGGAAGGAAGAGACTACTGAAAAATGTGGCAGCTATTTCCTGGTATTTGACCCAGAAGCTGGCGATTAATGCAGATAAAACAGCAGGTAAAGTACCTGACTGTAAGCATTTAGCGTTCCAGAAGAAAAGAGTAAGAGAAAAGAACTGACAGCATAACAGACATAAAACTCCAGGAAAACCACAGAAAGGCCATATGACACACCAGCACGCACCTCCAGAGCTGCCATCCTTACCACCTGGTTGCTGTGGTAAAAAAAGTTTGGGAGGACATCGAAAATAGATGTTTCTGATAGGATGAGTTTCTGGAAGGCAAAAGGATATTGACATTCTCAGTGAGATCTAAGAATTCTGCTGGTGAATACCATACATGAGCATAACAGTTCCAGTTCGCCTTCCTCAGCTATTGTGGAGAACATAATGATACCTTGCCCCATAGGGTTGCCTTTGAGGATTATATTGGTTAAGGCATGTAAACTTGTTAGAATTGTTCATTAAAATATACCAATAATATACCAATATATGTATGTGCTTATAAGTATCTAATCATCTCAGACCTCTATTTGTACTTCCTAAATACTGCCTAATACTCCACTACCAGAATCCCAAGCTTGAAAGGTAATGGAAATCCTAGCTATCAACTACGAACCACACAATTAAAAAGATCCCTCTCAGCTTCTAGGTTCCCTAGGAAGAGTCCTACAGAAAGCATTAAGCTTCCTTCAGCCAGTCATAACAACAATATTCTGGTTTCCAGTCATAACAACAATACTCTGGTTTCCAGTCATAACAACAATACTCTGGTTTCCCAGTAGGAAAACACAAAGGCACTCCTGAGAAAATGACTTGATTTATAAAACAGTTGAAGTCCTTCATTTGTAGCAAAATTACTCAATAATTTTATAAAATTGGCTTTTTATATAGTGTAATATTAAGCATTTAAATAAAATTAAAGTTAAATGATATTTAAATAGCTTTGTCTCCAGAAAAGGAACAACCATCTATATATGCATGTGATTCAAGCACCAGAAATCAAATAATGCTGCCAGTTAATTCTGATGTAGAATGCTTTCAAAAGATAGAGACTTCAATAAGACACTTCTGTCAAAGAAGGCCCATTTGATGCTAAGCTACGATCCTGAAACATTAAAAAAAAACAACTATAAACTATTTTTAAAATTCAAGGAGTGAAATTTCATGACATAGAAGTCAAAATTAATTAATTAAATCTTTAACTGAACAATACTTATGGGAATAAAAAGGTTAGGACTATGAAGTGGTAGAAAGGGGCTATTATAATACCTGCAGGTTCTCAATGCAAAACTGGTGTCCATACATGTCAATGGCTGATAGGAAGATAGACTCAACTTGGTTATGGCGAAGCTCATATGATGGCAAATGCGAAGCAATAAGAACCTAGAGAGAAGGCAAAATAAGAGGCATAAGTTCCTGAGGGGGTGATTATTCTAAGCTCCTATTAAGCCGCCTGATACAAAAGCAGTAAATATAAATCTGTAAGTGCAGGCGTCAAAGATAAAACAGAGACCAAGTAAAACAACTTCTAGGTCCTATAGCATAAAGTCAATGCCACCACATACTGAATCTCAGTTGCTTCTCACCATGATTTGCGCTGTGGACAATTTCCCATAGGGGTAGGGGGAAGGGAGAACAAACAGCTTCAATCAAGTTCCATCAGTGCATGTGATTTACCTTTGCAAAGCTGCTAGTCCTGGGGACTGCATGACTAGCTGTTAATTGGGAATCAGGTCTGGCAGGGAGCAGCTGTGGGGAAGGTGGATGCAGTATAGCTAGCCTTTTGCAACTCTGCAGTAGAAAGGGAGGAAAAGCTGCTTTGACAGCCCCAGGTACTCAGCACCAAAGAGAAGGCATCAGGAGCTAAGGCTGATGCATGTGAGGGCCAGAACGTAAAAGCAGTGTCACAAACAAACGAAGTCAGTAGGACCTGAATATCCTCAGCAGGTCACTGAGAGGTTCAATAACTTTGAGGAGTTCAGTGACATGGATACAATTGTAGAGAAAGCAGAAGGTCACTGAGCAGCTTCAAATGCTGTGTCCTTGTCAATGTCCAGGCAATGAAAATACAAAGACAGTGCCAGCTCTCAGCTTCCCTGCAGAAACCTTTTGGAATGGAAATGAGGACTACAGGGTGAGGCTAACTGGACTTCTCTGGGGCTGTTCTGATTGCTAGCGCCTAAGATTCATGTCATTATCTTTTGCTTTCCACACTTGATTGTTTTCTATATACTTATACCTTTTCATCTGTTTCTAAGCTCCCTTTGGGAAGTAAAAAATACTGAGTTCATTTCCTTCCCTCGGTTTCCTTTCCTCCACCTGACCCTGGTTTATGACTGTAGTGAGAGCTGTGGAGAAGACAAGGAATACCAGTATTTTGTAATGTGAGAAATCCAACATTAACCATGTCCTTTGTCTTTAAAGAATGCTTTATCACATAAAAACACCGCATGATCTCTGTGGAGTACACTGTGTCTAGAACTGCCCAAACTAAGAAAACTATCACTCTTTCAAGATAACCAACACCTGTTCTTACCTGACGAGCCCGCAGTGCCACTTTGGCGTTGGTGGTCTTGCTGAGCTGAGTTAGCTCTGTGAGGATATTTAGCAGCTCATCAGTAAGTGTAGGGTCCCGGCCACACAACTGATCCTAAGTATTAAGTGGAAAGGAACACATAAACCTGAATCACAAAGAACTCTGGTGCACAGAACATGAGAGAGAGAAAGGAAATACCTCTGCCACTGAGCTGCACCTCAGCACTGTTGGCAGCTCTTCCATCTCCTTCCCCCTTCTCTTGACCATCAGCCATTTCTGGAAGAATTTCTGCACCATACTTACCTTTTCTCATCTCAGGGATACTCTCTTTGTCCCTGTCCAGACATTATCACAGAAGTAAAAGCATGGGACTTGTTAAATGTCTCGATGCTCTGGCAGAGGACCCAGTTTTGGTTTTCAGCAGCCATGTGGCTCATAACCATCTTTAACTCCAGTTTCTAGGGAATCTGACACCCTCTTTTGGACTCCAAGAATATTAAGCATGCATGTAGGTAAAAATACTCAGAGACTCATAAAAGCCAAATCTAAACCATGCCATAACAACAGCAACAACAACAACAACAACACCGAACTTTTGACCTTTGGAATAGACATGCATTTCCCAAACACTTTTTCCAAAATCCCTAATACTTTTCAAGTCACAAGCCAAATACTTCTGGACTATTCAACACCATTATGCTAGGAAGAAGGCATCTCAAGATTATATGAGAAAATTATTTCGAACATAAAATTATTTTCATACCACAAACCAAATAAACCAAATCAGTGGTTTATTTCAATTGTCCACAGTCACAAAACCCATAATTTATATTTAAGGAAGTAAAAGTACTATTTTTATCCAGCTGAGTGAGTAAAAGCTGACATTGAAGTAAAAGTAAGTTCAGGATTCTACTGAACACATAGCCAACTACTAAAGGTCTTAACCCACCCATCCTAGGCATAAACAAAAGAGAGAAACTCTAACTCAGTCTCATCCTTTGTGAACAAGAAATAAGCAGAGACAAGACCATAAAAAGACAGAAGCAAAAAACAGATGCTAAGAGCTGGGGTAGAAAAACCAAAATGAGTTTACCCATCCCAAACCTTTTCCTTTCTTAAGGCCCCTATCTGGGGAAGTTATTTCAATCATCAGAACAGCCCACTAAAATATCTCAAAACATAGAAGTGTTCTGGGGAAAATAACAACTCATGAACTTTGCAAATGACTAGACTAAGGTCCAATAGCCACAAAAGCCAATGTACTAAAATAAAGCCAGTCGCCTCTCTGCAAAATTTTTTGATAGTGAATAACCCCTTTGAAAGCAATAGAGCTTAAGGAAAAACTAAGTTATCCTCTTGCTTAATTATAAACCATGTTCTAACTTAAAAAAAAAAACCAAAGCAAACAAAACACATAAGGTCATGTTTCTTTTCATTATAAAAGAAAGGGAATAAGAAAGAGGCTGGGAAAAACATCTGATGGGAGGGCAGGCAGACAGAGAATGTGGAGAACTAGGGAAAAAACAACAAAAAAAAAGAAGTAATTATTCATTCACAGCTACAGGTTGACAGTCTTCCGGGGCTCTCCATAACACAGAAGACTTCCTCAGAGGCCAGAATCAAGTGTAGTTTGGATGGAACTCTATTTGTATTCGTTTTTCTTAACTTACAAGTTTCCATTCAAATATCTGTAGCTACCAACAGTTTTAAATGGTCAACTGAATCTAGGTCTTACAAGAGCAAAATGTGCTCTTAACTATTGAGTGCCTCCAGCCCCTCAAATATTATTTTTCCATTAAGACTTGGAAAAAAATATAAGCAATAATAAATTATGTGTAGAATAAAATATCAACATTCTTTTGGCCATGGTCCAGACATAGTGTTGCGATCTTGAAAGAAGTGATCAGTGATCTTAAGAACCATTTGTGCTAAGTGCCATGTGCAGCAAGATGCCAGACGCATTCTGTCTAAGCTTTCTTTGGGCAACTGGTCAGTCCAAGATTATCACTCAGATCTTGTTAATATTTGTGATAATGCCACTAGAGGGCAACCACATCAGCAGATGTGTTTCCAAAACAACAAAACAACACAAAAACAAACCCTAAAACCAACAGGAAAAAAAAGTTCATTTAAATAACCAATCAGTTAACTCTAAATCATCTACAGAAATCTACAGACCAAAGTGAAAAGTACAGGTCATCCGTGGTCAAGATAGTACACCAGTTATTTCTTGCTTTTATTCTCATCCTAGACGTTTGCTAAGGAATATTTTAAGAGTTGCAGAAATACAATAACTATGCTTAAAGTAGCAATCCATAGCCAAAGATATATAACTAGTTGACAGAAAGCCCAACAGAGTTCAGTATGATTTTAGCATGTTAAGCATTAGGTGCTCCAAGAAGGCAATTCAAAACCAAAGTAATACAGCTTTGGATATAGACGTTTACTACTTATCATTCAGCTAAGTAACGCTTCCTTCTGACAAAGATGCTGTAAGTTTATCAACCGATTGCCAAAAGCATCTTTATTCAGTGTGATTGTTAGCTTAAAGTGTCAACTTGACACAACCTAGAGTCACCTAACAAGGGTGTCTCAATGAGGGGCTGTTCACACAGGGCTTCCCTATGGCCTATCTGTGGGGAACTGTCGAAAGTTAGCTAATGTGGGAAGAGTAAGCCTATGCTGGGTGGCACCATTCCCTAGGCAGAGTGCCCTGAACTGTGTAAAAGTGGTGAAGTCAAGCTGAGCATAGGCAAGCATGAGAGCATGCATTTCTCTTTGCTCTTGACCGTGGATGCGATGTGACTAGCAAGTTCTTGCCTTGACTTCTCCATGATAATGGAATTTAGCCTGGACCTGAAAGCTAAAATAAACTCTTCGTACGCTAAGTTGCTTTTTGTTCAGACATTTTATTAGAACAGAAATAAAATCGAACATTTATTAAATGACATTTCTGAGAAAGCTTTTTCTTTTTACTTATACACTGGATAGATTACATGCACCCATGATAAAAAAAAAAAAAAAGGAAGGAAAGAATCTGGTCTGCATTTTATATGCTCTGCCTGAATAAAATCACATACAGCAGGACTTGTAAAACCATGTTCATGTGGACAAAAGCAAAGCAGTGGAGAAGTCTACTCAACAAAAATTTGCTTAGTGGTCCTTGGGGCAGGTTACCACTATGCAACATATGTTAGCAACTGCAGAGGACCACAGCACCTCTCCACTGGAGCAACTTGATTTTCTTGATTCCTTCCTTTAGATTCAAAGGCCCAGAAGTCATCATCTAGCTCAGCAAAGTACACCATCAACAGTCCTACTTATAGGAAGCAGAGATTGGAATGCTGGGCACATAACCATCAATCAAGAGACCAAGGTAAGCAAAGAGAGGTGACCAGAAGAGAATACAAGCTGGGGGAATTGAAATGCTGCCATGTCCCAGTGACATCTGTAAAAGACAGTAATACCTGCAGAGAAGAATCCTAACAACTCAAATGCCTCTTACAAGAGATGCTCATTAATGCAGATGTGGGGGAGGGGAGCAGCTGGCCGCAATCAAAAAGGAAAATATGCCTGGTATTCAGAAATACTAGATTAAAAAGGGGCACCATCTGAACCTTTCCCTTATCTATGTCACTGCTAGCTGGCCCTGACTCAGTCATATCAATTAATTCCTTAATTTCAAAATCTCCAAGATAAAGTGAAGATAATTGATATTTGAAAATAAATTAGTGATATACAAGACTATAAGTACTATTGTGCTCACTGAGTCTTGTTTTATTTTTTGTTTTTCTTCTTTTAGAGGAAAACAAGAAGTGAAGATACTAAAATAAAGAAACAGGTAAATCCAGCTGCCAGTGTGCCTCTACTTCCTCCACACTAGTCATCCAAACCAGACACTGAAAATTCGTTTGTTTCTGCAGAGCTCAGCCTGCTACGAAGAAAGTTGGGGCACTATCTATGCAGGTAAGAAATAATCAGGATGACAAGGTGGGGGTAAAAGCAGCAGCAAGTCAGGGTCCCATTGGCTTCTGCCTGTCCTGACTGGCAAAAGCAGCAAGCAAAGCCTCAAACCAGTTCTCTGACAGGGCCCAACGCCTCTGCAGCACCCCCGTGTAATTACACACTTGAGTGACTGGACTCTGAAGAAAATTGAAGGCCTGAGCTCCGAACAGCTGCCATTTTCTCTCTCCATCACACCAGCGTGATTACTTGAGAAATGAACAGCCCCGGCTCAAAGCTACTCCAGAATTCTCAGAGGAAATATGGCTCCGTGTTCCAATAATGAGATTCTTAAGGCAAGCGTTACTTACAATCACTCCGCAAAAGGAGCGAGCCGAGCCCCTATATCTTACAAATTAGAATTTAAGAAACCCAGCGACAGTCCTGGACGATCATTACTCTTCTCCTGCTTCAAGGATTCTGGGTTTTGGTCTATTTTTAGTGCAGAAAACTGTTAAGTTCTTAAAAAGGTAATCATAATAGGATGAAAAATTTGCCATAATTAGCTTCCTATAAAGGCAAATTCCAGCCCCATTTTGGTTCACACTGGCAGATCCTTCCACCTTCTAGTTATTACCCCTTTCTGCCAGAAAGTCATGACTTCCTCCAAGTGAGAATTAACAATCCTTGCATTAAAATTTGAAAAAGAAAGTAGGATTTCTGAGGGAAAATAAATAGCAAGCAGCTACAGATTATACAACTCTTTGCAGAAAGCTGTCTTATGGGAAAGTTAAAACAGTACTTTGTGCCAATATTTCCACCCTTCTCAAAGACCTGGTTTCCTCATCAGGCAGCCATTCCAGGGTAGCAAAGGAAATGAACTCTCCGAGCTATAATGACATGTTTCTCAAAGTGGCTACCTATAAAATGTTATCTCCAATAGAGCCAACCATGGAGGCAGAGGACTGAATGAGTGGGAATCCTGTCAACCAGAGACATAAGGAAGACCATCTCTCTTCATTTTGGGGGATTATATAAAAATGGCAGTCAAGATTTATATAGGGTTTTCCCCTCCATGAAGAAATTATGGACTTAAGAGTACCAAGAATGGCCGGGCGGTGGTGGCGCACGCCTTTAATCACAGCACTTGGGAGGCAGAGGCAGGCGGATTTCTGAGTTCGAGGCCAGCCTGGTCTACAGAGTGAGTTCCAGGACAGCCCGGGCTACACAGAGAAACCCTGTCTCAAAAAAAAAAAAAAAAACAAAAAAAACAAAAAAACAAGAGTACCAAGAATGATCATCTCCAAAGGGCTGGGAAAGGGAGCTAAGAGAGTAGCTGTACTTCAGTCCCAAGCAAGACAACTGTGCATCAGCAGGCCTCATGGGACCATGGGAGGAGGGTCTCTAAGAGCAGTCCTATTCTCCAACCACAAACACTAGCTTAGCCAAGAAGAACTAGGAGTGGAAAACTGGAAATCAACATGAAAACCCTCCACTTTACAAATTCCCACCAGCATTAGATGCAGCTCAGCCCAGCTCACAGGAGCCGGTTGGATTCCTCCTCCCATTTTCTACTAATTTGTATATTAGTCAGATATAAGGACAAAACAACAGAGTCACTGCAACAAGAGCATAGATTTTCATGTAAATCAAAGAAGATGCCAAATACATTTAACTACTTTTTTGAAGGAAAGGAAGAGTACTAAATTTCTCCCATTTTATTACGTTTCTGACACAAAAACCAGTGCTTGCATTGCTGGATATACATACGCAAGAGTTAAAATGGAGCAGTACACTGGTAAGAGGAAACTGCATCTGAGAGCCACTATCATATTGACAGAGAAACAGGAAAGGGCCAGGCATTTCTAAGTACAGCCAAAAGAATTAAGTTCCTGTACACATTCTATGCAAAACAGTCCCTTCCTGTTATACACTGCGTTGATCCAGCAACTGCTAATCCACAGCCCAAGCTCAATTACCATAATTATAAGACAGTAGCTTTCCTTCTGAGACACACACACACACACACACACACACACACACACACACATTTTGCAGAGCACCAACCAGTTGCATAAGTTCAAGAAACAAAATGGATACTCACAATAAGCATTGTCACCAGGAGATTCTTTTTGGTGACCTGAGCGTGGGAGAAGATGTAGTTCAATACGGTGTTCATGTCACTTTTGTTCTCTTCCCGAAGGGCGAAGACACACTTGTCGTAGTGGCCTACAAGTGATAAGGAAAACTGGTCCTCAGCATGCACACATGAAGCCTCGTCCTTACATGCTAACTGGTTGTTGTTTCTTAATGCCTATACACAGTTGATAAACGGTGAGAAGAAACACCTTAAGAATTTTTTTTGGAGGGAGTTAGGAAATCCAAGCATAAACCTAGGTTCAAGGTTGAGCTCTACTCCCAATTCGCTGCGCCAGTCACTTGACCTTTCTGGGTCTTGATTTTATTTAAAAACTTAAAAGGGAGCAGGATGTGCTTTTAAAATAAAGGTGGGATGGGTGCGACTCCAATCCCACTGTTTTCTCTTCATGATCTTATTTGTTCTCCTAGAATAATTTCCTTCAAAAAGAAGTTTCTGAATTTTAAAAATCATTGTCAAGGGCTCAGCAGGTACAGTGCTCGACACATGAGCACCAGTTCCTGAGTATGGCCCCTAGGACCCACACAAGAATGCCCAACATGGTGGTGCATGTTTCTAATCCCAGAGCTGGAAAAGTGGACACTCGAGGCTCTCTGGAACTCTCTGGCCAGTCCATTTTATCTGATTGGTGAGCGCCAGGCCAATGAGAGACCTTGGATCAAAACAAGTGAATGGCATTTCTGATCAACAGTTGTCCTCACACCTATACAGATACACACACCCACACACAGGAACATGCATGAACACATGTAGGCCACACACATACAATGCATTCACAGATAAATGTTAAAACCATGAATCCTGATGACCTTTGAGGTCTACTCCAGCTTGAGCATCTGGTTTCACATCATTGAGAACATTCCACCCTAACTGCTAAGCATCGTTTAAGCTAAGAAATTATACGTATCAATATTCATAAGTGTGTCTGCTATACTGGGAATCAATATTTCCACTGTAACTCCAGGAAAAAGCAAGCAAGGCCCAGGAATTCCAAATTCAAACCATGCATACATGATGGAAGCCTTGCATATACGAAAGGCTGCAGGAAGTACAGTTCTGGGACTTGCTGACCTTCTGTAAAGCACCAGAGGCAGGTTAATGCTGGGCAGGAAAACTGTTCTGTAACAGAGACAAACCTCTGGCATTCTGCGGTACATCTATGGTAGATGTAAGCGAAACACGGGTCTTTACAAAACAGCTTGGCTACAGATTAAATTTCCAAGAAAGGAAAAACTAGTGTTTGCATTTTTGTGGTCCAGAATTGAATATGAAAGGATTATCACTCTATTCAGATTCTATGTTAAACTACAAACTAAAACAGTAATGTTTACAATACATCAATGTATTTTCCTAGAATAACATTTGACCAGGGCAACCCTAACTTATCTGCTTTAAATATCAGAAATTAGCATAAATAGTATTTTTTAAAATGAAACTAGTATGTTAGGAAAAACACTAAAATATACTAGCTAGAAACAGCCTATCTAATAAAAGATCCTATTTTGATAAAATGGAAAATGTTTAAAAATTGGCTGCCCTTGGGCTAGAGATGTAGCTGAATGGTGAAGCAGTCAGCTAGCATGTTCAATCTTGAGCTCTGCTGGAGGAAAAAAAAAAAAGGAAAAAAAGAAAAACCCTGTGGTCCTGTATTTCCTGTCACTGAGACTCAGCTTTACAATGATAAAAGAAATACATCAGGGCAACAGTAATTATTAAGAGGAGGGGAAATAAAAAGAATATATTTACCTGAAGTGAGGGGACACAGTAACAAAAGCAAAAGAATAACAAGTAGTCACTCTAAAAATTACTATTAATAGTGACAGAGAAAAGAAGAGGGAAGATGGCCCAATGGTTAAACATACTGGCTGTTCTTCTTGACAGCCTGGATTTGATTCCCAGCACCCAAATGGCAGGTCACAAACATTTGGTAACTCCAATTCCAGACAGAATAGGATGCCCTCTTCCAAACTTCCTCAGGCATGAGGCATGTATACATGCAGACATACATTCAAACACATATTATTTACTTTATAAAATAAAATAAATCCTTTTTTAAAGTTATTTAACGCCGGGTGGTGGTGGCGCACACCTTTAATCCTAGCACTTGGGAGGCAGAGGCAGGCGGATTTCTGAGTTTGAGGTCAGCCTGGTCTACAGAGTGAGTTCCAGGACAGCCAGAGCTACACAGAGAAACCCTGTCTCGAAAAACAAACAAACAAACAAACAAACAAACAAACAAACAAAAAGTTATTTTACGCGTATGGGTGTTTTGCCTGCATGCGTTTGCACACCAAGTTCATCCACCATCATAAGAGGCCAGAAATGGGCATCAGATCTTGGGAAACTGGAGCTACAAATGATTGTGAGCTGCCATGTGAGCACTGGGAATTAGACCAAGCTCCTCTTGAAGAGAAGCCAGTATGCTTAACAACTGGGTCAACTCTCTACGTTTTTTCTTCTTTTTAAACACTTATTTAGGGAAAAATATATATATGTATATACACACACACACATATTTATATACAATAAAATATATACTAAAACTTGAAATGATACCCATATGCCATTTTAATTTTAAACTCAACTTAGAGAGAGAAAGAGAAAGAGAGAGAGAGGAGAGAGAGAGAGAGAGAGAGAGAGAGAGAGAGAGAGAGAGAGAGAG